CTACAACATTTTACCTGGAGAATCTCTCAACACCAAGCCAAAAGAACTTCAGTAGCAATAATCAGTTTTTAAATTCATGTGAAAGCTTTATTAGTTGTTCCACACACAATGTAAAAGAGATCAGACAGTTTTGTAGACAATTTGGGGGGAAACAAGCCCTGTTCACCTGGCTGCTGTGGGCTCCCACACTCTTCTTCCTCCCAGGAAATTACAAATTAGAGGAGTGCAGGGGGGGAGAGAAAAGCAGTAATTTATGAAAACACAGTACACCATAATTTTGCCATTTTTCTGCAATAAGGATGGCAAATGATTCATGGGGAAAAATGAAATATATTCCCCTGTCAGCTCAATAGATCCAAGATTTACAGCTCCTCGACTTGGACAGGAACAGCTCCGCTTGCATAGGAATGAATTGCAAATCAGTTAATTGGAGAGATGCAAAAAATAATAAATGAATCCGTGCAAAATAAACGGAGCAGCAATTCGGGAGAGCAAACGGAGGGCAGCACAGCCCTGGGTTTGTTCTGGGGGGCACAGGGAGCTCGGCATGGGGACCCTGCGGGTTTTACAGATCCTTTAATTCCAGCTGCTGCCGCTGGAGAGGGGAGGAGAGCGGGGAGGCAGAGCCGAGGCTGGCAAATAAAATCCTGGGGCAGGGAGGGGGCGTCCCTGCAGGTGAGGCACAGCTCACCTGGGCTGAGTGTGGTGTTATCCAGCCCTGCACGTCCCACCTGCATGGGGAGCACAGCTCACCTGGGCACTGTGTGTGACCCCAGCACATCCCACCTGCATGGGGAGCACAGCCCACCTGGGCACAGTGGGGTGTGTGTGACCCCAGGACATCCCACCTGCATGGGGAGCACAGCTCACCTGGGCACTGTGTGTGACCCAGCCCTGCACACAGCTCACCTGGGCACTGTGTGTGACCCCAGCACATCCCACCTGCCTGGGGAGCACAGCTCACCTGGGCACTGTGGGGTGTGTGTGATCCCTGCATGGAGAGCACAGCTCACCTGGGCACCGTGGGACCCAGCCCTGCATGGGGAGCACAGCTCACCTGGGCACTGTGGGGTGTGTGTGATCCCTGCATGGGGAGCACAGCTCACCTGGGCCATGCAGGGACAGCGGGACAGGCCCTCCTGCCCTGAAGCAGAGCATGTCCCAGCAGCACAGCCCCAGGGGTGGCCTTGTCCCCAACAGCTGCCATCAGCTCCCAGCTGACACAGGAACACCCAGATATTAATGCTGCTTTGGTATGCCCCATCACATTTCAGACCAGGCCGCAGCAGCCACACCAGGGACCATAAATCTGAATTTGTGACCATTCTAGGGAGACACCACAGGAAGGGACCGGCCCCGAACTCCTGTGCCTTCCAGCAGCAAAGGCAGGAGCTTGACACGAGGCAATTCTGGTGCTGCAGAATATTTGGGATAAAGCTGGTCACAGCAAACATTCTTTGCCTTACCACTTACACGCTGTGGATTAGGGGAAAATCCATAATCTCTGTGGTTCCCCTCCGTTCTGCTTCATTCCCAGGGGGAGGGAGCTGCTTGTGCACCAGCACAGCTCCGTGGCAGCTGTGCCATATCCCTGCTACAAGTGTGCATTAACCCACGGAATAATCTGGAGATGTGAAGATTGTGCTGTGATTCCCTGGCTGGGAAAGGGGATCTGCTCTGCTGGAGCAGCCCTGGCACGCGGCAGCCCGGGCTCACCTGACACGGAACACGACCCACAGGGGCTGAGAGACCTCTCCTGTTCCCTGGTGCTGATCTGGGCCAGGATCAAACTCTCCTGTGTGCTGTGTGCTCCGGGCTGGCAGCCAAAATCCAAGAGATAAATGCATATATTGGACTGGCCAGAGCCAATGGCTGCTGCCATTGCAGCCCCAAGGGCAGGGCAGGACTCCTCACCTGCCACTGCCACCTCCTGCAGGGCCAAGGCTGCACTCCCTCCTCTCTCCTCTCTCCTCAGTCCCACACTGCAGAGCACTCAGTGCTGAGATAAGAGGGGACAGCATGGGAAACCCAGGTCCTGCTCCCAAACCCACCCATCCCCACCTCCCCCTTCCCACAGAAACTTCCCCGGGACAACTCCGAGGGACTTTTGCACTGCCACAACAAACTGCCAGCAAAAGGAAGTTTTTTAGCCACTTTTATTGATTCATGCTTTCAGTCCTTACTCAGTTAAAAACAAGGCACATTAAATACATCCTCTTATTGCTCAATAAACGCATGCGGCTCATTCCAGATATCAAAGGTAATAAATAATGGCAGGAAAACACCAAGACAGTTATAAAAATGACAACCCAGCTTCAAACACAGCATTGAACAGCCCAGGCTGCAACAGGAACCTGACAACAAACCTAAGTGCCACGTGGAAACCTGCAGTGTGTCTGTACACGTATTTATACACCCAAACACTGCAGGGATCCCCCTCCCCACAGGTTATTTACAATACAAAATTCCCACAGAAACCCCAGGAATCCTCCCTTCACACACACAGCCCCACTCCTGCTTCCCCAGCACGGCAAGGCAGTGACACCTCACAACTGCTCCCACAGTGCATGCACATCACAGGGCCCAGAGAGCAAAGCCAATTCCTGCAGGCACAACGAGGGGACACGGACACGGAGCTGGCAGGGACTGCTGGGGACACGGGCAGGGTCCCTGCCTCTGCAGGGGAGCAGGAGGTGACACGAGTGCCCAGACACAGGGCAATCCATGTCCAGGGACACACAGCCAGGGGAACCCACAGCCACAGGCCAGTGCAAGAGAGCAGAACAAGAGAGCAAAGAGCATACTTTGGGTGCAACACAGAAATCCTGCTTTCCAGGGAACTTCAGGCTATTATTTTAACAATGCCAGTTGGAGAGGGGTGGAGAATTTCTCTTTAAACTGTACAAAAGCTGTTCTACAGTGAAAATATTTTTTCTTTACAAAAAACCTGTTCAACATTGGAAATATTTTTTTCTTCTCGTGGCCTGGAAAAGATCTCATGACTTTTACTTTATTTCCCCTCACACTTTTGTTAAGAGCAGAATCCTGAACCCCTTCCCTGGCCCACTGAGCCAGAATGCCAGTGTGTGGTACATTCATTTCCCTCCATCCTGCAGGATGTGTGAGATCTGTCACTGTGCGTTTGGGACACACACATCCCATCCCTCACCTGAACATTCTGGAACACAGCTCAAAAGGAAAAGCCTACAGGGCCACAGGAACAAGCCCCTTTGTTCACTGAAAGGTCCTTGTGGTGCCAGATGTGCCAACTCCCCCTTCCTCAGCCCCTGCTCGAAGCACAAAGCCAGAACCTGAACAACATCTGCATCAAAAAACAAACTGAACATGCAAAAACCATCTGAACCATTTTAGGAACTCATTTTAGGTCAGTCTTACCCTTTTTTTTGTATCTACTGTTTTTCAACACCCAAATGTTTTATGTTTTTTTTTTTTTAAGGGCTCTGCTTCTGCAGCCAGAGACAGCATCTGCACTCACTGTGCTACATCCCACCAGTCCCCAGCACCTCCATTTGTGTCTGGAGCCATTTTCCCTGTTAAAATATCCAAGGAATCCTTGCTGCTCACTCCTGCCCTTTTGGGCATCCCTGATGGATGCTATTTTCCATCAGTGGACATGGTGATACCAGTAAAATACATCAAATTTTACTCCAGCAGAAATTCTGACCCCTGGGAAGTGAAGCTTGGTGTGAGGTGGAAATTGCTCTACTCATGGAATACAGCAGATGCCAAATCCAGCAGCAAAGCAGGTTTCCCTGCCTTGTTCTACATCAGCAGCAATGTCCCAGCTGATCTCAGCCCAGCCCAGCAGCAGGAGGACAGCAGGCAGGTACAGCAGTGCTGGAAACAGCTCCAGTGAGGGCTCCATGCTTTGGTTTTTCATTTAGCCTGCTGAAAACCAGCTTTACTTTCCAGAAAAGTTAGTAGGATGCAAAACACACACTTTGTTTTTTCACCGTGTTTGAGCATTTTAAAATTAACATTCAAGAATGTTGTGCTACCAAAACCTGCTCCATCCTACAGAGCATCAGGGTTTGCCCCAAACTTGAAGCTCTTTTTAGCATAAAACACCTTTTGCCTTTATTTCACTGCACAAAGCACCACCTGCAGACAATGCCATTTATTAGAGGCAGTTTATTTGTGTTAACAGTGGAGAAGGGAAGCTGTGCCCAGCTCTCAGCTACATTATTACCTCGGGTGATTAATCCAGGTGTCTTGTTTTCCAGCTGCAATTTCTGAGCGGCCACTGGAACAACAGGGCAAACCCACCACCCACAGCAGGCTCAGGACAGGTCTCCACCATCCCCACCCCTAGAAGTGCTGGGTCTGCTCCTTTGGAATGGTGTCTGCACTCCAGAACACAGCTTCCCCTCTCTTGCTCCTTGCTGAAGAGGCAGAAGCAGCTCAGAGGTTTTGTGTTTGCAGAACTCAGAGCGTTTAAGGGCAGGACTTGCCTGGATTCACCCAGGATCCACCTGGGGTGCAAATGTTAATGGCTGGGGCAGGATCCACCCTGAGCACGGCGTGCTCTGAAGGAGAGGATGCTGCAAACGTTAATGGCTGGGGCAGGACTCACTCTGAGGGAGGATTCACCCTGAGCACGGCGTGCTCTGAAGGAGAGGGTGCTGCAAACGTTAATGGCTGGGGCAGGATCCACCCTGAGCACGGAGTGCTCTGAAGGTGAAGGTGCTGCAAAGGAGAATGGCCAGGGCAGGATTCACTCTGAGCACGGCACAAAGGTGAATGGCCAGGGACGTGCTGAGCGTGCCCCCAAGCCCTGCAGCCTGCACTGCCGAGCTCCTGCGGCACAGCCCAGCCAGGCACGTCCCGGGGCAGTAAGGAGACCATCAATGAGGAGGACAAACGCACCAGAGTCACTTGGGAGAGCTGCCCGG